CAAATTATTAATGGTTAATGAATAAATTTATCTTCTTCTTTGAGTCGACCAAGCAGTTTTGTCCCATTATAATAACTATCCGAAAGGAGTTACTTCCTAGTTATGACAAACATCTAAGTCAGTAGTAGAAATCAAAACTTTGACAAATCAGTCTTATTTCAAGTCATTACAATAAGTTATAATAGAAATTAGGAACTGTATTAACTTAATAAGCTTGTAACTTAAAGCCATATCAAAGCAATCCGTACAGGATGCACATAAACCAACAAGAGACTGATTAATTACAGTCCTGTTATAACATGTGAGCGTCCAGTTGTTATAACGTGAGTGTGCGTGCGTACGTGCCCTGTTTGATATATGAACGCCCAATTGGAGAGCAGTGATTTATTGATAGAAGCAATGATACACAAAAACCGTATGAGCAGTCTTGAGTACTACTCGGTCCTGCTAACTGCCTAGCCCAGCCAGTTAAGTCCAGAACACCAATAATAGCCTCCTCAATATGAATCGTTATTCACAAACATACTGGGTTTATATACCAAACAAACTGACCACATCGTACCACAAAATAGAAAATAACATTTGTACTAGATTTGGCCAAATGTGGCTGTGAATAGCGGGAACAGTAATCAATAGACTGGGGATAACTAAAGAATGGTTAATCGTACAGTAATAGTCTATAAGTCAAAATAAAGCTTATAATAAGAGTAACATGAATATGAATAGTTAAGTTACTTAGCAATGATACAATAGGAAATATACATATCACATTGGTCCATAAATAGTTCTCAAAGCTACCATTCATAATTTAACACGGGATACAACACCTCTCCTTTTTTGAGAGATCCTGGAGTTGATATCCGGATTTTAGAAGTCCTAAACAACAATCGGAACATAGAAGCAAACAAACCATATCTTACTTAACACTAAAATTAAACATACTAACTACATTTAAGCTATTTGTCGTAAATGAAGTTATTTACAAAAATTCGGTCTCATTTACAGTTAACAGATAAAGATACTTTTAAGTATATTACACAATACATACATATATGTATAAATCATTAAATAGTAACTATGGTAACACATCATAATTTAACTTTCATCAAATCTTTTTTTCATATCACCTAAAAAGGTAATTAAGCCAGGTAACATAAAAAATGGCATAGAAATTCTTATTTGACAAATTGAAATCAAATGATTTTTAGCTTTATATAATTTAGATTTCAACCTAAATAACATTACCTAATATGCGGTTAACTTTAAAGTGATATACTTCAACATCAAAGAAGAGTTCAACAACTGACAAGTGGACTAACTGATGATAAATACTTTTATATGAATTAAATTTCATTATGAGTTTATTTATTTATTTAAACACATAAAGTTTGGTACAAAGAGGCATCAGATATATATGCGCCACACAAATCTCATTTCATTTGTGTGAGGGCGGCTGTGATACTACCCAGGTGACAAAACTGAAGCAGGTGGTTTTCTTAGGAGGCCACACACGGAGCCTTTGACCTAAAGATCTGATCCACAAGGCAGTGGAGCATCGAAAGGAGATGCAGTCACATGGTAGCCAGTGATCAACGATTGATTCATACTCCATTTGTTCTCTCACGATACTGGCGCCCATATACTCCATTGTTTTGTAATCAGGGTTTTTCAAATCCTGTAAGTGGACTTTCCATGTCCACCAACCCGGTTAAATTGCCGGACATTCGTTTATCATCCTCTCAATTTCCTAAATAACAACAGCGCCACGAGAAGGCAGTGAGTAGGACTTCCCTTAAAGAGGCCATATACGCGTGGCCATGTGAGAGCATTTAGAGAAGGAGAGCGGACTCTCCCCACTCTCGGCCGTACCAGAGCCATAATTTTAATTAATTAATTAATTGATTTTTATTAATTATTTCAGAACCAATATGAAGTTAAAACTTGTGATAAATTCTTAAAGAATTCTATTATTTATTAGTTGAATTCATGAGTCTATTGAAGCTAGACCAACATGGAAAACATCGAAGCACTGGATGACCAACTCGTCCTAATATGTGACTTCTCAGTAGTGCAAATCCACGATCCCTCTCACAGGGTTCGAATCCAGGATCTTTCGGTCTCTAGCGCGAACGCATAACCTCTAGACCAATGAGTCGGTATCCAACGGTATGGATGTCTAATTTCAACCAATCCACCAAGTTGAGCAATCGTCCACCATTGTCTTCAATGAGTTACTATCTCATTATTTCTCAGATTATATATCTTTTTATAAAAAAAAGTTGAATCTCACATAGACTTATTTGTTTTTCACTATAATCATCAAATAGATAACTTTAAATTAATTCAATAAAACAGTATTCAAATATATTTTACGAAAAAAAATAAGATAAATCAGTAAATTTGTTACTATACAAAAGTAAACAAATAATTAATTTTACAAAAAAAACAAAAATTTTTTTTATTTTTCAACTTTCATTTATCGGAACAATGATTATTTTAAAAAATCATTTTTTATTACCGATAATCCCTTGCTGTGATTTCCATGAAATATGTAACCATAACAACAAATAAATTAAAAGAAATTTTTAAAAAAAAAAATTAGAACAGCATGTTACACTTTAGTATTACTACTGATCCCTAGTAATACTACTACTACAAAATGTATATTTAATAATTATATGGAAACATACAAAAAAAGATAAATCATTGAATAGTTGTCATGGTATATAAAACTATTATTGTATTGATAAAGTCCTAAATTAAGAATAACAAGTTACAAGTTACCAAATATAAACAAAAGAAAAAGAGAGTGATAAGTTTTGATTTTACATTAAATAATATGATGAAAAAAAACTAGTACAATAATCGATTTTATATACGAGCTAATCGATATATTGAATTCCTCTGAAAAGGATTCAAGTTCCGTAACATTATTTTTTTGGGAAGATACTAAGAATTCTGCTAAGTTCTTGGCATGTTACTCTGATTAAAAGTGATTGATCACTGAATGGTGATTAATGTCATATATGTCAGGTCTTTTTCTAGTGCTACATCTAACTACCACCTTATCCCTATATAGTGCATACAATGTCGAGTGACCTAGACTAATGGACATAGTGAAACTTGATCGATAGGATTCAATCTGCACTGAGGAGGATCTGACATACATTGTGGAGTGGTCTACTTATATTCATATAAGTAGTATATGGTGATGGTCAGACATAGAATGTATTTTGACAGAAGATCGATAAGGAAAGAACAGAAACGAAGCGCAATCGGTATGAAAATGCATGAACAATGAAATCAAAGAAGATGGACTGATATTTACAGAAGGAACAGTGAAGATTGAGATAGTTGATTGTTATTTTGCAAATTAACTGTTTACTGTATGGTTATTAGAATTTAGTGAGATTTGTGCTTAAATACATTCGATTGTCCCCAGTAGTGTTCTGTTCGCTACAATATGATCACCACCTAGTGATAATTCAATTGTAAATACATCTCAGTCCTAAAGCAAATGTGAGAACTCAGCTACAGAGGTATCACACTATTATCGGTACCGGGAAATTTTTTTCAAGTGTTGTTGGACCGGATGAAAGATTCAGAAGACGTTTAACATCGAAATCAACAAACTGAACTTCGTAAAGATTGGTCGTACACAGACCAAATCGTACGACTACGGATCATCGTTGAAGAATCATTTGGATGGAACTAATCGCTATACATTAACTTTCTTGACTACGAGAAAGCATTTGACAGTGTGGACAGAACCTTATGGAAACACTATGGTGTACCTGAGATAATTATCAACATCATACGGAATTCATACGAGGGACTACACTGCAAAATCGCGAATGGAGAACAGCTGAAAGGTACATTCCAAGTGAGGACTGAAGTCAGATAAGGCTGACTACTCTCTTCCATTCTATCTCTTCTGATGGGTGACTGGATTATGAAGTCCTCCACATTTCAGGAGAAGCACCAAGTACAACAGACAGCTTGGATGCAACTGGACGATTTGCACTTCGCAGACGACCTAGCCCCTCTAACCCATACATACCAACAAATACAGATGAAGACAGACAGTGTAGCAGCAGCTCCTGAAGCAGTGGGCCTCAACATATACAAAGAAAAAAGCAAGATTCTCAAATACGACACGGAGAACACCAACTAAATCACACTAGATGGAGAAACTCTGGAAGAGGTGGAAAATTTCACGTACTTGGGTAGCGTCATTGATAAACAAGGAGGATCTGATGCAGATGTAAAGACAAAGATTGGCAAAGCAAAGACAGAATTTCTACAGTTGAAGAACATATGGAACTCAAAACAACTGTCAGCCAACACCAAAGTCACAATCTTCAATACGAACATCTGGACAGTTCTATTGTACAGAGCTGAAATTCGGAGAACTACCACAACCATCATCAAAAAAGTACAAGTATTTATAAACAATTGTCTAGGCAAAATACTTAGTATCCGTTGGCCGGATATCATCAGCAACAATCTTCTGTAACAGAGAACAAATCAACTTCCAGCTGAAAAGAAAATTAAGGACGCTGGGAGTGGATAGAATATACATCGAGGGAATCATCGGACTGCATCACGAGGCAAACGCTACTTTGAAATCCTGAAACGAAAAAGAGCAAGGTCAAGGAACGAACTGAGCTGAGAATTGAAATCAGACATCAAAAGGACAAATAGCAACTGGAAAGGATTGCCCAGGACAGAGTTAAATGAAAAATTTGGGGAGGCAGCCTATTATCCTCAATGAGGGGTAACAGATGTACATAAGTACGTACTATATGACCCAAAAGTTGCTAAAAATTATTAGTGTGTTGAGACCTGCTCTAAAGACCAATTGTGAAAGTACATATACTCCAGATACACCAAAAACGTCAACATATAGAACACCAGGACTATTTTACAAACATAATCATCATCGAAAGCTACGCATTTCAACAATCATAAACCAATAGGAAGATCCAAAAACCCACATATATATAAATATCACTTGTATATTTTCATTCAAATATTAAAAAAATTCCATTCGTAAATCAAGCATTATGGATATACTATCGAAAAATGTCCATCTGTAATAAAGCGAAAAATACTTAGGAAAATATAAATTTAAGTATAAAAAAAAGATTCCACGAAAACGAACACAGAGACAATTGTTTTGATTACAGGATGTAAAAGGGGTATATATATATATATATTAAATAATATGGGAAACAATACAGTTCTCAATAGTCCACCATTCAACTAAAAAATACTTTACATAATTTACATGATTAGATGAGTTTATAATAAGTACAGAAGATGGAAATAGTATCAAAGGGGTTTCACTTTAAGGTATATAGTTACTATACATATAAAAAATTAATTTTTATTCATATATATAACCACGGTCATCATTAACAATCATTCATATTATGATACTGAAGAATTTAAAGAAATGTCAGATTCTGTTGTTGTTGTTGTTTCAGTAACCAGGTAGTAGGTGAACACAGTAACAGAAATATCAGATGAATGATATAAATAAACATATTTATTCTGTATGTCGTATTTTTTGCATAAATGTACACACACATACACACAACAAAACAATGTGATCATTTGATTATTATTATTACTTATAACAGTAATTAGTAGTAGTATACAACAAATGAGAAAATGTACACAGGTAAATGAAAATAAGAAATCTCATTCATCTCATAATTAAAGACATGAAGCTGTAGGAGAAAATATCAGAACAAACAATGAATAAATAATATCATAAATAAAATGAAGACATTCAACTAAGAAGAGGAAACGTTCAGTCGGTTTTTTTTTAAAGTTCCAATAAAGATCATACAAATGACATCACAGAAGTAAATTAAGAGATTACACATTAGTACTTACTACATTTTGGTACATTAATTTAGTTTTTCTCTGTATTACTCACGTTTTCTCCATCTTAGTTACCTTCACTGGAATATATATATACACACATATGACTAAGTGGAACCTTACAATGTATCTATACTGAATCCAACATAGTAGTAACTTCAAAATCAGTATCAATAGAATCAAAATCTTCACCGACAGCTAATGCAACAGCATCAATTGCTTCAGCTTGTTGACGAGCAAATACACCACGTAGATAATTAATTAAACAGCTATCAACAAAAATCGGACGAAGTGTATTGTGATTTGAATGAGGGCATGTTAATTTAATCAATTCTGGAATAAAATGTCTATGAATAATTTCAATAGATAAACGATCATTCGGATCTTTTTGTAAACATGAATGAATAAAATATATGAATTCAGATGAGAAACAATAAACTGGTAAACGTGGAGCTGGTTGTTCTACAATATAGGTGAATAAATTGTACATGCCAATAGTTGATCGACTTTTTGGATCTGTAAGTGCTGAAATGTAATTTAAAAAATATGAAAAGAAGTAGTTTTCGTATATATATATATATATATATATATATATATATATATATATTTAGAGCAGGTTCTTTCTACAATGAGATAACAAACCAGTATACTTAAGAATACAGAATAATAACTATTTCTAGGGAAAAAACTGTTATACTTGTTTATTTAAACATAAATTATACCATGAACTGGTATTAACTAACGAACCACTGAAAACCAAAGAGTACAGTAGAATATTTGAGATGGTACTAAACAAGTAACGGTTTTGATGTGGGTTTGTTCTCTGAGCTGGATGGTTTGGTCGTGGAGCTTTCATCGTCCTTCTGGACGACATCATCAGCACAAACTTCGGATAGAAGTGAAGTGTAACGATTTATTTGAAACATATCAGGATAAATTTAACACTTAAATGAATAATACGTCAGAAGAGATATTATTAAGATATGCCCATTCAGTGAAACTGATAAAATATCTATACACACATAGTATAGTGAATAAGAACAAGGGTGGGGACAATCGAATGTATTTAGTCACAGATTACAGACTATCTCACCATACAGTAAACAGTTAATTTGCAAAATAACAATCAATTGTCTCAATATTCACTGTTCCTTCTGTAAATATCAGTCCAACTTCTTTGATTTCATTGTTCATGCATTTTCATACCGATTGCGCTTCGTTTCTGTTCTTTCCTTATCGATCTTCTGTCAAAATACATTGTATGTCTGACCATCACATATACTACTTATGTGGATATAAGTAACTCACACCACAATAGTACTAATACACTCTATTCGATGACAGTGTCTGACCGCTAAACTATAATTTGAGCTAATGTTATCAATGTATGTAGGTCTACTAATTCAAACAGTTAACTCTCACGAGATATGTAAGTATTACTACTATTACTGTTTCTGTTAAAGAGACCTCAGATCATCTACCATTTTTGTTATTAAACATTAGTTATTTTCTATAATGATAACCCTGACAACTTTTTTTCCGATTCATATCTCCGAACTGACATTTCTAAGTATTTGATTGGTTGCTGTAAAATTTAGTCTGCTAATTTTACCATGAGTCCGAAAGTTATATTTTGTTTCTCAATACAAAGAATTCTTCAGCTTCAAATTTGACCTCTTGAATATTAGACTTTTCTAAGCACCCACATGTATTAGTTATACAGTCTATCGAGCTCGCATGAAATCCAGTTCACACTAAAAAAATAATTAAATCGATCGTAATCAAGAGTTAATTTAGCTTAATCTTTAGAAACTTAACAATTTCATAATATTAACTACATTTGTCTGCATCAAGTATTAACAGTTTATTATCAGAAGAAATTTTGTGGATATCATAGTAATTGTTCATAGTTGAGATCATGAATCAATTGAAGCTAGACCAACATGGAAAACCTAGAAGCACTGGACGGCCAACTTGTCCTATTATGGAACTACTCAGTAGTGCGCATCCACGATCCCGCCTCAAGAGATTCGAACCCAGGATCTATCAGTTTCGCGCGCGAGCCCTTAACCTCTAGACCACTGAGCTGGCCGGCATCCAACGATGTTAATGTCTAACTTCAACCACTTCACCAATGTCTTCAGTGAGTTGTTATCTCCCAACAGACCTGACCTTCCAGTGCTTCCAGGTTTTCCATAGTGGTCTAGCTTCAATTGATTCATGATCTCAACTATTCACAGATGTAATTAATCCTTCATTTGATTTTCTTCTACTGTTTAATGTTTTTTATTGAATTAAGGTGGAATTTATTAGATCCTGACCAGTAGGTATATATACAAATTGGATAATGTTTTAACCGTCAAATTTATCACCTATCAACAAGAAAATAAGAAATGACTAATAGTCTATTGAAAAAAAATTTTTTCATATCAACATTTATTTTGGGAATATATACTACACTTCTGAAAATATGTAGCATCTCCGAACTAGTAAACAAGTAATATAAACCTAAAGCTGTGTTCAAATAAACAAGCAAACATTTTATGTATCAATCTAACAAACACATACATCCCCACGCGCACACACACACACACACGAGTAAACAAAGAAAACAATAAATGCTATAAATAAACAAGTTTATAAGATGGTGGAGAAGATTTATAGCTCAGGTGGGTGATTTTGATGAGAATAAACCTACATCAAAAACAATATTATATTTACTAGACGTTCTTAATATTTACATAGTGTCAATATATTTCATCTGATATGACAGTAAAAAAAAGAAAATTACATTGTCTAATCATTATATCACTTTTCGGAAACCTTAAAACTAGGCAATAAATATATATAGATATGATTAGTCTTAATAGTAATCTATGCAAATTTATCTTAGAACTGAGAGTGACAGATACTTTGTATCTTACCAAAATAACTAAGGCGATTGCATATGTTTATAGCCTTTCAAGTGTCAGTGTTATACTAGATATCATAACAGTTTTAGGAATAATCATTTTATATATTTATTTATTTAAACACATAAATATTGGTACAAAGGGGCATCGAATACATATGCGCCACACAAATCTCATTTCATTTGTGTGAGGGCGGCTGTGATACTGACCAGGTGCCCAAACTGATGCAGGTGGTTTCCTTAGGAGACCACACCTGGAGCCTTTGACTTAATTATCTGATCCACAAGGCAGCGGAGCATCGTAAGGAAATGCAGTCCTATCGTAGCCAGTTACCAACGATTGATTCATACGCCATTTGTTCCTTCGGGATACTGGAGCCAGCCCATGTGCACCATTGGTTTGGAACCAACGTGTTCCAACTCCCCTAGGTGGACGAGACGTGTCCACCTACCCGCTTAAAGTGCCGGACATTCGCTTTCCGCCCCCTCAATTTCGTGAACAACACCTCAGCCACGAGAAGGCAGTAAGTAGGACTACCGTGACAGAGGCTATATATGCGTGGCCATGTGAAAGCAGTTGCAGAGGAAGAGCGGACTCTCCTCACTCTCGGCCGTACCAGGGCATTTGGAGGCAAAAATTCCTATCAAAGATTATTTAAGCTCTGTTTTAGATTCAAAGATTAAATCAAGGTAACACGTTATTGGTTTAAGAACTAATACATCTTCACTATCTTTGCATACACTTCAACAAAATACAGTCCAAATGAGCATTTTCATAGACTAAATGCGTATTTTGTAGATACTATGGTGTTAACTTGGGACATGAATGAACAGATAAGGAGTCTAGAAACAGGAGTAAATTGTTTGTAGGAGAAGAAGAGTTTCATACATCTACACATAACATTTCTAATCGGTATAAAAATACACCAAAGCTATGACTGACGTACTACCTAATGTTGCCTCTTTGAAACTCAAACATGGTGAGGATGTGTACAACACTCTTGCTACTTTTTTACGATATCCACTTAAATTTTGATGATGCTATAGTATAAGCCAAAAGCATCTTGAAGTTGGATTGTTAATAAGCTCACCTTACTAAACTGATTGACAATAGTGAAAAAGAGTACATCTATCGTTACAAAGAGATTGGGAAAAGATACCTCATGCAATGATTCATAAACAACTAGATGAAAACAGATGAATAGTACAAATGAAAATTTGTTTCACTTACCAGGCAATAATTCACCAGTTTTTGCAGCTCTAAAATGTTCAAGCATGTTTGTTTCTTGATCTGGCGCAAATGCACGTACAAAATCAACTGGATCAATAGATGGGATTGGATATTGTCCAATAGCTAATTCCATTAATGTCAATCCAAGACTCCATATATCACTAGCTGCAGTGAATAGTTCACCTGGAGGCAATAGTAAATAAACATTTAACAGGCAGAAAGAGACAATTAAGTAAAAGTAGTTAATAGAACATTACATTTAGTTAACGATTAAAAAAACTGAAAGATTATCCATACATTCATACTACATATTAACATATTTCGTAGCAAAAGATTGAGATAAGAAATTGACAAGACGAAAATCAATCAGTCATACGAAACATGGAATCTAAGACATATGTGTATTGGTTAACGTCGCCGTACCCCATAAGCACGGCGAAGTAGAACCATTTCATGACAAATCCCAGAGTATTAGGAGTAGTGAGAGTAGTAGTAGTAGTAGTAGAAAAGACTAGATCCCGAACGCGGAAAAAAAGGTAAGTGAGGACTCAGGCAAAACAAGGAATGAACACACAAACACTATAGCAAACGATTTTGAGCCATCCCATTCAAAGTCACTAAACATTGGTTACGGTAATCATGCGGATACAACACAGATAGTATACACTGAGCCACCTATTAAAACGGCTTATGCCAAGTGTCAATGACTGCATGAATTAGTACCACATATTAGTTTGGCCATCTTCTAACACCCCAACGCCACATATCACCCGTTTAAGATCGGCAGTGTTTGTGCATACGTAACACACGTCCCAACTACCTCAGTTGATGAAGGTTTGCTACATCAACACATAAATATTGGTACAAAGAGGCACCAGATATATATGCGCCACACAAATCTCATTTCATTTGTGTGAGGGCTGTGATACTACCCAGGTGACCAAACCGAAGCAGGTGGTTTTCTTAGGGAGCCACACACGGAGCCTTTGATCTAAAGGTCTAGTCCACAAGGCAGTGGAGTATTGTAAGGAGATGCAGTCCCATAGTAGCCGGTGACCAACGATTCATGCATACGCCAATTGTTCCCTCAGGATACTGGAGCCAGCCCATGTGCACCATTGGTTTGGAATCAGGGTTTTCCAACTCCCCTAGGTGGACTTTATGTGTCCACCGACCCGGTTAAAGTGCCGGACATTCGCTTTCCATCCCCTCAATTTCGTAAACAACACCCCAACCAAGAGAAGGTAGTAAGTAGGACTTCCCTGACAGAGGCTATATAAGCGTGACCATATGAGAGCATTTGGAAAGGGATAGAGGACTCTCCCCACTCTCGGCCGTACCAAGGCATTTCTATTATTGAATGTGTAGTGCCAAAAAAAAATTAAAAAAACATCAGTGTAATGGTGAAATCAACAATTTGGAAATAGATAAGACAAAACTTAGAAACTGTTTACATAACATAATGTCAATTCATATAAGATAAATAAATTGAACGTATTAATTATTATTATTAATAATAACAACATTAATAACATCTTCAAATCCTAATCTTTCACATTACTACTTATACTCTTACTACTTCTACCATTATAGGATTTGAATCGACAACTACATTTGTGTGCTTATATAGTATGGCAAGTCGAAATGATGTACGTACGTACGATGTTCTACGTTGTGACTGACTGATTGACTGAATAAATAATCTGTATTGTTAATAAATATATTTTATCAAATATAATGTACACATAAGTAATAAATAAAATCAAAAACAAAGAAAGAACCAAATTTATTTTGATTTTCTGCCAAAAGTAAATAAGTAAAAAAAGAAAAAAGAAAAAAAAGAAAGAAAAATGTTTACAAGATTCCCCAAAGTTTATTTATTAACTTCATCATGGATACAACTAATTGTATGTAAATTAAGAAAAAGTAAATAAAATTTTATGATAGGGTAATGATCATTTAAGAATAAACACTAGAAAGTTCATATATACTACAAGTATAAAATGTTCCTATTATGTTCTTACAATGATAATATTATTATTCAATGAAAATGTAATGGATCAGAAGGGGTTTTGTGGATATTTCAGTATTTTCATAGTTAAAATCATGAGTCAATTGAAGCTAGACAACCATGGAAAACCTGGAAACACTAAACGGCCGTTTCGCCCTATTGTGAGACTCCTCAGCAGTGCGCATCCACAATCCTGCCTCAAGAGATTCGAACCCAGGACCTACCAGTCTCGTGCCAGAGCGCTTAACCTCTAGACCACTGAGCTGGCCAGCATCTAACGGTGTTAATGTCTAACTCCAACCATTCCACAAAGTTTGAGCAACCGTTCACCAATTGTCTTCAGTGAGTTGTTATCTCACAACAGACGTGGTTGAACTCCACTGGTCACTGCTTCTCACTAGAACTGCAGGACATATATCTTGAAGTCATTCTGTTGTCATTCTGATTGTTCATTGTTTCCTTTCTTTTTTTATTTTATTTAAACACACGAATATTGGTACAAAGGGGCACCAGATATATATGCGCCACACAGTCAGTCTGTCAGCCACAACGTAGAACTTCGTACGTATGTACATCAGTTCGAGTTGCCATACCACATTACCACAGAGATGCAGTTGTCGATTCAAATCCTATAGTGGTAAAAGTAGTTAGAGTATAAGCAGTAATCCAAAAGATTAGGGTTTGAAGATGTTATTGATAGAGTATAATACAGTGAAATAAATTCGGAAAGAGAAAGATAAAGACATGAAAAATTCAGATTACAATTTGGTAGAACACAAAGAATGGATGCACCTTCGCCACTGCAAACGATTTTGAGCCATGTCATTCAAGGTCTCTAACCATCGGTTGCTATCATCTCGCGGATCCCAACCAGGTAGTCTTCACCTACCAACATGACTCAGTCCACTTATCACTGACTTCGTGAATTTGTGCCACGTTTTGGTCTGGACGCCTCTAGCTTTCTTCCAACCTACAATTACACCATAAAACACTGCACATCGGGGCAGTTGGTGGTTGGGTATACGTAATACGTATCCCGGCAATCTCAACTGATGAAGTTTCACTACTTCATCAATCGATTTGCCATCCTTATCTAGTACCCGTTTCCTAACAACTGCATTACTTACCCGGTGGTCCCAGGATATACGAGCAATGCTTCGAAGACACCTGTGATCAAATACTTGTAGCCTACGAATATCCTCTACTCTTATCGACCATGTTTCACTGCCATAAAGTAGGACGGAACGAACTGCTACACAGTAAACCAGTCCTTTAGTTTCTAGTCGGATATCTCGCCTACGCCATAAATGACGCAAGTTGGCGAAAGCTAGATGAGCCTTCTGTATCCGTGCTGAGATTTCGTCACACACCAGACCACAAGGGCTGATGAGACTCCCAAAATAAGTGAAGCGGTCGACACGTTCAACTACTTCGCTCCCTATCATTAGTTCAGCTCTCGATGCAACCCAATCCTGAAGTAACATTTTGCATTTCGAGGGGGAGAATCGCATCCCGAACATTCCTGCATTGTTGATTATAGTAGTCAGAAGACTCTGCATTTTGTCAGCGTCTTCACCAAACGGAACTATGTCATCGACGTATTCTAAGTCAACAAGTGAATCTCGTGATAGAAGTTCAACCCCTTTAAATTTAGACGAGGAAAGTGTTATTTCTAGAAGCACGTCTACGATAAAGTTAAAAAAGAATGGAGAGAGTGAACAATTCTGACGAACACCACTTGAGGTAGTCAATTCTGACGACAGTTCGCCATAGGCTGTAACTCGACCAGTTGTGTTCGAGTAGAGAGCCTTTATGAGGTTAATGTACTTCTTTGGTGCTCCTTTCAGTGACAAACACTGCCACAGAATCTCATGATCAACAGAGTCAAATGCCGCCTTAAGGTCAAGAAATACTACGATTGTGGGACGTCTGAATGTGTGTCTACGTTCTAGGACCTGAAGTAGAGTGAATATTGGCCTAAACAACCACGTTCAGGTCGAAAACCAGCCTGGTTTTCTCTAGTCTGCTCTTCACGAGCTTTGGTTAGGCGTCCAAGTATTATTGAAGCTAATATTTTAGACACTATTTTAGTCATACTGGTTCCTCCGTGATTGTCACAAGAGTACTTTTTTCCTTTCTTATAGACTGGCACAATCAGTGATTGGGACCAGTCAGATGGGATTACGTCCAGTTCCCAGATTCTACCTCAGACCTCAGTCACTCTTGCTGTTAGTACTGGACCGCCATCCTTAAAAATCTCAGGGGTAAACCTGTCAGGGCCTGAGTTTATATTTATTATTATTATTTATTTAAACACATAAAAATTGGTACAATGAAGCACCAGATAATTATGCGCCTCACAAATCTCATTCGATTTGTGTGAGGGCTGTGATACTGACCAGGTGCCCAGACTGAAGCAGGTGGTTTTCTTAGGGGGCCACACCCGGAGCCTTTGACCTGACTGTCTGATCCACAAGGCAGTGGAGCATCGTGAGGAGATGCAGTCACATGGTAGCCGTTGACCAATGACAGGTTCGTCCGCCATTCGTTCCATCAAGATACTGGAGCCCATGTGCACCATTGGTTTTGAATCAGGGTTTTCCAACTCCCCTAGGTGGACCCTCCGTGTCCACCAACCCGGTTAAAGCGCCGGACATTCGCTTTTCGTCCTCTCACTTTCGTAAACAACACCCCCGCCACGAGAAGGCAGTGAGTAGGACTTCCCTGGCAGAGGCTATATATTCGCTGGCCATATGAGAGTATTTCGAGAGGGAGAGGTGACTCTCCCCACTCACGGCCGTACCAGGGCATTTGGGGGCCTGAGTTTATAACCTTGAATGTGAGTTTTAACCCAAATAGATTATCACTTATTACAGAACCATTTATTACTTACGAATATTTTCATACAAATATTCTGAGAAGTCAAAATAGTTTTCTGATTTCATACAGTCAAATGGGTTATTTCGATGAATTTAACACACATCTGAAGTAAATAATATTAAAATGAAGTCACTTTCACAAGTAAGGACTGATAGTAAAGTTTTTTCCTAATTATTAATTAAAAAATATCAACCAGACTGAAGTCATTCAAATTAAGTCAAAAATATTGTATATATTGAAGTTTTACTTACCCGCCAGACGTTCAGGTGCTATGTAAGTGGAGAATCCTAAAAATCCAGAAGCTACATATTCACTCAGCTGTAAACTGACGACAAAATCACATAATTTAATAGTACCAGCACGATTAATGAGTATATTGGATGGTTTCAAATTACTAAAAAGAATAAATTTTTAAAACAATGTAAACAATAAGCGAGTTAATGTAAGGTGTTTGTGGAGTTTGTTGAATTTTGTAGTTTACTAAACAAACTGACCTTCGTTAGATAACCAATAAAAACCAGAAAGCACTGGACAGACGCTTCACCTTAGTATGAGACTCACCAAGAGTATGCATCCAGGACACATTCGAGGATTGAACTCAGGACATCAGGGCCTCATGGAATGAGTCCGACGTTTATACCACGGAACCGGTATCCGATGGTTTCGCACCAATATCATTTAATGATGGTTGTGAGATAACGCGAACTGACTGAATTTAGAAACGTAAAGTACTGGATTCCGACTCAGTGGTCTAGAGATTAAACATTTCCTGAGAGATTGGAAAATCCTAGGTTCGATGACTGATAAGAATGTGGAATCCAATTCTAGGACAAAGCAGCAATCCAATGCTGTCTGATTTTTGCTGGTAGTCCAACTAAGGTTAGTTAGTGATGCAAAATAAGTGATTTACTTTTCATAACAGATTTATACTGAAGCTGAAAGAAAATTTTCTCAATGTATGAAATTATAACATAACAAAACAAATTTCAAAAGCACTACTATTTAAAGCTACAGATGAGATCCACTAATTACGCTATTTAATAAATATTTTCAGTTAACAACACAACAAACTATCTTTTTATTGTTATAACATTACTGAAATGAGATGGTGGAGAAGATTTGTAGCTCAGGTGGGTGATTTTGATGGAGTTTTGCTCTCTGAGCTGGATGGTTTGGTCAGAGAACAAAACTCCATCAGAAATTACTGAAATGCCTTTACTCTACAGCTGACTATTTGAAAAAATTATTCAATTGTGCAACTTATTTCCAAGTTGCATATTGTTCAGTCATTTTATGGAAATGATGAAATACGTTGCTCTACTAATAAATCGAAGAATAACAGTGTGATCAACTATCAAGTATACTACAACGATGAATATGGACAGTTAAATAAAAGATATTTTTAATTATCAAAAACACTCATTGGATAAATATGAGCAGTTCAAAAACCACAGAAGTCATTCAAATGTTTGCGGTTAACTTCCATCTTACCGTAATTATTATCTTTTCAGTATCAAATGAAATAAATAGTTCACCATTTCTAAAACTATCATTTTGATTTTTGCTTTCAAATACATTTTATTTTATTTAAACACATAAATATTGGTACAAAGAGGAACCAGATATATATGCGCCACACAAATCTCATTTCATTTGTGTGAGGGCTGTGATACTACCCAGGTGACCAAACCGAAGCAGGTGGTTCTCTTAGGGAGCCACACAGAGCCTTTGATCTAAAGGTCTAGTCCACAAGGCAGTGGAGTATTGTAAGGAGATGCAGTCCCATAGTAGCCGGTGACCAACGATTCATGCATACGCCATTTGTTCCCTCAGGATACTGGAGCCAGCCCATGTGCACCATTGGTTTGGAATCAGGGTTTTCCAACCCCCCTAGTTGGACTTTCCGTGTCCACCAACCCGGTTAGTGCCAGATATTCGCTTTTCGTCCTCTCAATTTCGTAAACAACTATAGTGCCACGAGAAGGCAGTGAGTAGGTCTTCCCTGGTAGAGACTATATAGGCGTGGCTATGTGATAGCATTTGGAGAGGGAGAGCGGATCCTCCCCACTCTCGGCCGTACCAGGGCATTTGGGAGGCTTTCAAATACATCTATCCAGCCATTATGAATCTTCATAAAATATCATAAATTACGGTAAAAAACAAAGTAGTCACCACAATTTCAAGCAGTTTTTTATTATTTAAATATGTCTGTAACAGCAAAATATCTTCTTGTGATAGTGAAAACATTTTAGTTAGAAATGTAAGAGTCTTTCTTCAACTGATAAATTAAATATAGGACACAAAATACGACTATATGATAAGGCATACTTCGAGTGGCAATATAAAAAGTAACAACTAAGAACCTATAGTAACCCGAAAATTTCCGAATTTCCCGAAAAAATGTAAATACAGACCAAGAGATGAAAATCCATTGAGTAAGAAAAGAGCAACATATGTATGTGGATATCATGGTGATACAAACCCTGTTTGGTTCTGTAAGAATAACTAAATACCAGTCACTGACCTGAAATTTTTTTAATTCATAGCAGCTCATGAGACAAATTTTATTTAAGCGGTTCCTATATTAACTAATTTGCATAGAAATAATACAAGAATACGCGCCTTACACGGAAAACCAACATTATATGGCTTTGGTGAATAATTTTACGGATTTCTATGAGCTACTGATTACGTGGCATAAGTAGCATATAGAGCTAACCAACATTTTAATTAACGATGGATGTATATGGATAAGAAACGAGAAGTTAAACTCTGAAAACAGTAGTTCGAAAAAGATGTAGACTCAATGACTTCCGACAATTGGAATTCCTGAAACCAACGTATAATGTCTTCCTCCTATCTGGATGAATACGTTATGATAAATAGTGAGGCATGTCGCTCAAGTTTTCCATGTAGTCACTTCTTACATGGTGCGTAACACTTGCAAATATCCGACTGGAAACCAATGCTATATTTGGAAACCTTAGATAGGTGGTTTTCTTAAATGACTCGGCTTCAGTACTCAGTACTGTCAAACATCATCGTGGTCAATAGACATAATTGACGTTAAACTTTAAAAAAAACATGTCTATGACATGTGTTGAGAAGACAACTTAGTTCTGAAAAACTAAACGTATCTAGTTTGAATGGTTAATGTGTTACTTTCGAGTTTGTTTAGGAGTTATAAACAGATGGTAATTTGAGACTTTTTGATGCTTAGATTAATAAATTAATGTTCGGTTTCTTCTAGCGGCCTGACAATTTGTTTATCAGACACTTGATAACACCTTACCAACTTTGGTCTATGAAACCTGGTGATATTATAAGTACAATATGAGAATTATGAAGTTAAAGGAGGTTTTCAAACTTCCATTTTTTTATTGGGTATTTTATTCCCAATGAAATACTTCAACCATTTTTTAAACATTGTAACTGGATGTAAATACGAATAGTTGCGTAAGTCAATGTTTATTCGAAAATTTGCCTTTGCACTTAGTCAAGCCTATGCTTAAAAGTAGCTGACCAACGAGTACCAGACTGACGTGCTATGTTGAAATATGTTTGATTTGTTTAGCCCTTACAAATGACCACCGAGAACTGTTTATGTGACTCTTCCAAAACAAGTTAAACCAAATTATTTTCCTCTTATAAGAAAACTATTACATTGACAATTACTCACCGATGAAACATATGCAACTCTTGCCACAAATAAAGTAGACCTGATACAACTGAATCAGCAATATGAATTATAATTGGTTCAGGAAAACGTCCTACCATTTTCAATAGTAAATCCATTCCACCAACATCCATATACTCCATATATATACTTATTAAACATTCAGAATGTATTGCTCCATGAAATTCAATTATATGCGGTGATATACACTCCCAAAGGACCTTGTTAAAAGTAAAACGGAAATAATTACATATTTACAGGAAACAAAGAAAACACGATTTACCCTAAATATAATCATCATTATCAAAAAGCAATCTATGCGTATACTTTAGTTCATGGATTTGATCAAAGAATCAAATCCAATAGTTAAACAACTTGATAAAATATTACAAGTTGTATATCTGAAGCAGGTTATAGTAACAAACTTAATTCAGGTATCGCACTTGATAAAGGTTTAGAAGTACCGACAAAATTTTAGACAAAATTTTCATTTAAACTGATCTGGTTCTATAAATCCATAGAGATGTAAAGAATCTCTTAAATTTCAAAATAAATAGGTATCATCCCGAGATTTTCGATGTGATGCAAATAATATTATTGGTCAATAAATTTATAAACTGATACCATTTATCTGTTTGACCATTCTCTGGTTTTTTTGGCCCCCAAATGCCCTGGTACGGTCGAGAATGCGGAAAGTACGCTCTCCTTCTACAAATTCTCTCACATGGCTACGCTTATATAGCCTCTGTCAGGGATGTCCTACTTACTGCCTTCTTGTGGCACTATTGTTGTTTACGAAATTGAGAGGACGAAAAGTCAATGTCCGACGTTTTAACCGGGTTGGTGGTGAACATGGAGGGTCCACCCAGGGGAGTTGGAAAACCCTGATTCCAAACCAATGGTGCACATGGGCTGACTCTAGTATCCTGAGGGAACAAATGGCGTACGAATCAATTGTTGGTCACCGGTTACCATGGGATTGCATCTCCTTACAATGCTCCACTGCCTTGTGGACTAGACCTTTAGGTCAAAGGCTCCGTGTGTGGCTCCCTAAGAAAACCACCTGCTTCGGTTTAGTCACCTGGGTAGTATCACACAAATGAAATGAGATTTGTGTGGCGCATATATATCTGCTGCCCCTCTGTACCAATATTTGTTTGAATAAATAAATAAATAACCGGTCATCATATGTAAATTGTGTTGCTCAAAGCGGAGTATATGACTCAGTGCTTGGTGAGTAAATCATTCTTTTTAGGGTTCATATACCTTCCTTACCTATCAGTACTTAGCATATAACATACAACCATAGGAAAAAGATAGGTGAGCTTAGACAACGATATTATTCAACACGGATGCATGTAACATCATAAAACAAAATAAATAAAAATGAAAAAGAATTTGAACTACCTGTAAATCTCTGACAATCTGTGCTCTTGTAGTGGTTTTTACATCTAATTCAAATGTTTTTCTAATTAAAAATGTACCAGATGATTTATGTTGTAACTTTGTTACAATTCCACCATTACCACGACCTAATTCAGATATTAATAATAAATCATCTATATTGAAATCTGGTACTAAACGTCGACGACCAGAATCACCTGGGCTTGATGTTTGTGAATATTCAATAGATGTTGCATTAGATGAACTGCTTAATGAATTATTATTATTAGTTGGACTTTTACATCGTGTAAATGCTTGAAGTGTTCCTGATTTATTCTCATGATTGGTTGATTGTGAATTTACAGTTGTAGAGCTGTAGAAAATAAGTAGAAAAATACAAGTGATAGTAGAGTTATATAACCAGAAGAGGTTTTGTGGAGATTTCAGTATTTTTCAGAGTTGAAATCGTTTAAGGCCTCTGGCTCAAGACTGGTAGGTTCTGGGTTCGAATCTCGCGAGTGCGGAATCGTGGATGCGCACTGCTGAGGAGTCCCACAATAGGACGAAACGGCGGCCCAGTGCTTCCAGGTTTTTCATGGTGGTCTAGCTTCAATTGACTGATGACTTCAACTTTGAAAAATTATATAATCAATGAAAATATGAGTGCTATATAACATTGTAAAATAATACAAAGAATTAAGTAACTTAGGAAATGATGTAATTACTAGAATCGGAGTCATTCTTCCCAAATTTAGCTAGTAAACCTCTAGATTTTGAGTCAAATCACAAAATGGGTTGATAAGTTAAAAGCTCAATAACTTTGGATTTCATTAAGCCGGTAAATTAACTTAGATCATATTCTTTAACCAGTTAGACAGTATTTATTAACAGGTTGATTGATTCAGGAAAGTAGATGAAGAGTGAACAGATAAATGGACATACATGTTTCCCGCCGAAAGATTTACAAGATTTCATGATTGATATATTTGATGATGAATTTACGATCATCATAGTCTCTTGAGAACTCATTATTCCTGAATTTACAGACTATCAATTTGTGTTCGGTAGAAAAACTAAGAGATAATCTAAAGTTGAAGGACAATTCACTTCTGAGAAGAATCAAGACAGAAGTCATATTTCTTTTTGTAATCTCAATAAACTTTATGGTCTGAAACTAATTACACCATAAATAGGATTTCAAAAGAAATTTTTGTTCACTCATATTACGATGGGACCAAAAAGCGAGATCACAATTTTGACTGCGTGATCTTCCGCAGTTTCTAGTTTAAATTCGATGTGAAAACAAGTTAGTAACATATTTGTTTTATCTTCAGCATGGTATTTTGTTCAGGATACTATTAATTTTATTTCAATAAGATGCTTATTTAGAACAATATTTTTCGTATTAATTTAGCGTGAACTTCGTCTAGTATGATATGCAGAATGAGCTTTATATTAATTCTGTGTATCTACCCTATATGTGAGATTTGTTAACTAATCATCACGTGTGAGTAAGATCAATAAGTCGATTTGTCAAAGAGATAGATGTGTTTTGAAAGGTGAAACAACTTTTAATCGGTTTCAGTTTTGTTTTCTTATTCTCACTATGCGAATTAGAGTATTCCCATTATCCAAGTATTATTAGTCTCGTGGTTACAACGATTGAGGGAATGTTAATGTGAAGGTAGCTGAGGATCTAAAATACAAAAAAATTCCAACACATATTTGTGATCTCACAGTTTTGTGTGCAATTTATTAACTGTGGAGAGAATAAATAAATTATGGTGAAATGTTCACTGATTATACCAACTGAACAGTCAGGCTATGTCAAATAAAGTCGGCAATTAACAAATATCGGTTATATTAAACTGAACAAGCAGGAAGTCTACATCTACCACCACACATGACTCAGATCTATAGCCAAGGACTTTCACAGACTGGTGCCGTGTTTTGGTTTAGCTGTCCATAGCTTACAATTGATCTGTTTTCATACTAACCCAAAAAATGTACTGAACCAGGTGGTCATGTTTCCTAATAGAACTACATCTAAGATCTATAACTAAACACAATGATTACGACCACAAAGTCTTCACTCAACAAACACTAAAAAGTTTAACTCTATATAAAACTTGCTGTGACGATATCAACACATTTCAGGAAGAAAAGCACCCAGAAGATAGTGATGTTACAGCTCATCAGTTCATATAAACAGCTTTAAAACACTAAGTCACAAGTCCTGGAAAGATTAAAACAATAGAAACGAAAACTGTCAAAGGTTTACTGAGAAAATTATAACTGCTAAGACATAGCAAGAATATAGGATGGAGCAGAAAGAAAAAAATTAGAGCATGGTAAGAGAGATGGGAAATAGTTTATCCTTTTAATTGGGAAAACTTACGCATCTGTCCCATCTGTGAGTGATTCTGAGATAGTGATAGACACTGTTTCTTGTGAAATATCTTCAACACGAATCTGGAAAACACACAAAACGGAAGATAAAATGTGTCACTATCTTTATAAGGCATGTGAGTAAGTAATCTAAATATCACTTTGTGTCAATACAAATTTAAATTATGAGAGCTTGTGAGTTACCGTTTCATACACATGAAAACAACTACCAGAGGATGATGGATGAGATCTACACTCGGGACTCTAGCCATAAAACAAGATTTTAAATACAGTTGTACTCAAATTACACTCAGTGGCATTCAGATACGCTAGAAGTAAGAAGAGTAAGAAGCCAATATTCTCTCTCTCGAAACACTTTTATTTGACTAAACACAGTGCTAACACAAAAGTTGTACATGACTTCTATGTATGGTGGTTTTTATTACCAAGATGAAAGATGTACGATGTTCGGACCTTGGTCTTGGTTGGCAGGCATGAAAGACCACGTAAGAAGCTAAGTACTTTAGATCATAAATTAATTAAACCAAGGACCCATTGAAATCCCGACAAAACCCTAATTGATAATTGGTTATCCTGAACATGAAACCCATCAAATTGTTTCGAATTATTTAAGTAAAGGGTCAGAATAAAACCAATATGAGCAGTCAAAAAATACCAAAATTTCCATACAGTTGATAAGATAAAACAACGATTGAAAACAACCCAAATAACATCCTAACATGGAAATTACGGTAAAATAAGATTAACATTTGGTTCCTAGATACTTTACAACATTCCTACTGCACGAAGTGGTTCTTCCTTGATGGAGGTTTTTTTCAGTCAGACGAGAGTTACAGAGATACAAAAGTAATATCAAGCAAAAACGTAATGGTAAGGAAGATAGACAAAATAATAAGAAACCAAAAAAATCTCTTTTTGCCTTGGTGTGGCAGTTTATGTTACTGGTATGAATAGTCACCAAGTGTGAATATTTAAATTAGCAAAAGTAACGACTAAGATTTGAAGACAAAATAGTCCCTCAAGATTAACCTTGATTATCAATTATTTACGGAAAAAACTAAGAATTTTGCAGATAATCATAATATGACCGGTTTAACCCACAAGGTTAGTAGGTTGAGTGACCATTGAAGGCATTAATTTAGCTTGAGGCAATTAACAGTTAGTCAGTCATACGCAACGTAGAACTCGGCATACATAAGTGCAGGTTCGACGTTCCGTAGCATATTAGCAAGGCGAAACATGACTATCAAGACAAATCCCTGAGTAGTAAAGTAGTAATTGTACCAGAAGCAGTAAAAAAGGTCAGGTATAAACGATACGACTCGAGTATTAGGGATGAATTTGTGGGGGAAAAATAAACAAAATAATTTTGTAACTCAAGATTCAAGAGAAGACAAAGAGTTAATACATCCCCACCACTGTGGTCGATTCTGGCCAGCGCCACCCAGTGTCTTTAGCCACTGGTTATAATAAGGGTGCCGACGCCAACCAGGTAGTCTGAACTAAATAACGCGGTTCAGTCGAACTGTTAATAACTTCATTGGAAGCCTGAAAACAGAAGCACAAAACCTGATCAGAACTGTCCGGAACACACCTTCAAACCATTAGATAATGAAACACTAACAAACTAATCTAAGGTTTCACGAAACCTATATTCTTTGACCCGAAGGTAGTATTCAACCTAATTACCGTGTTTTGTGGAAATTTGTTCAGCAAAGATATTACTCTACTAAATAATTTTTACTCAGAACGATAATTCCGCACGGGATAATGAATGCGTCTTCTTTGATCTAACGACGAATAGTAATGAACAAGGATGCCAGATACTGATCTTTTGAATGGCTCTCCCATTGAGGATTGTAGTTACTTGGATTAGTATACTTCTATGTGAAATTCTCAAGTGGATGCTTACTTGTAAAGCCTACCACTTTTCTTCAGAATTCAAACTAGCCACCAAAATCTTTATGAACATGTTATTTCTTGACAGGCCACCCCGTGTTTTTATTCCACATTTCTATGTATAGTCTGTTGAAATGTGAATAATAAGCGCTGTGTTTTTCATACTTGACATAACTGTACATGAATATATGAAGCTAGGGTTAGCGTAAATAAAACTTTAGTACTCGAGGATAAATATCTTAGTGAAATAGTCAAATAGATAACGTGTTTAGGCCTTGTTCTAAGTAGCTTACTAAGCCATTTGTTCTTGTGGATAATTACGAAAGTTGGTACACCAGGTGGTAAAAACTACCAAACTCTCCTGCAATAAATGATATTCATATAAGGCAGTTCAGTACAAAAAACAGTTGATGTACCTTCTCAGATTGAGTTTCTAGATCTTCGCCAGCAGATGTTTTATCAAGTCTCAATGTTTGGTCGATAACCATAGATAATATTGCATACCATACGGTTATCAACTAAAATGAGATGGAAATTACGCAAAGTACGAAGCCTGTTGAAACCTATAGGGACAGCATACAAAACATAAAAGGTAAAGATTATAAAGGTAGCTAGGAGTCATTTAGCATACTATTCAAAGCCATAAAGAGAGAACAATAACAGTAATTTCAAATGACCACAATTATCCATGTGATATGTAAATTTTGGCTTGGACTTTCCTGAAACATTACCATTGCTTTTCAACTAATGTATGAATGATCGCATATACCGTCTACTACTTTGCATAGTCTGCTGTTTTTATATAAGTTTTAATGTGAACACAGCCGTCTTTTGTTCCTGGTCATTAAAGTCATTAAAATTAGTTGCATAATAAAATTATAATATGCTGACAACCTTGAGTTAATCAATCGAAACTAAGACAATGCCATGATTGATTTGGACAAAGTTTGGAGTGCAGTGGTAGATAAAATGTACGCTGTTATTAACCAAGTGAAAATTTCCAGTATTTAGTTCTTAAAACAACCGAAATTGACGAAACAATCTATTCTACGAGATACTGAATTGGAGATGGTACTTGAGCTAAAATACACGACATACCTGCGACTGAGGCAAATTGCGTCAATGTAATTAATGTCGTCCATTGAGTGATTAAGGATATTTACTAAGGCAAAATAATGTTCATCCTTTCTTACTGTCGCTCTAAATTTCAAAATTAAGTGTAAAGAGTATGTTAACAGGAAGGTGAAAAGACAGTTCATTGTAGCTGATGTCAGTTTGTATTGAAAAACCACACAAGTTTAAAAACCTAACTCGAAACTCTAATTTAGCTCTTAATACCTGACCCTGACCCTATTGAATTATAAGTGATGTCAGTTGGTGACAAAACTCTATGGAGTGATAACCCTAACTCAGTATATATAACTCCCTTTTTCACCAGGAATAATTTGGATTGTGAGGGTTAATTATTACAATCAAAGCTAATGTATCACTGTTACTTTGTTTCGTATTAATGACTGTCTTGTAAATAAGCAGTGTTTACTGATTGACTGAAAGACCACCCAAGTTCGCCACTATATTATACTTTTACCAGTTCCATTCAGCCCACAACAATCACAAGTTGGTTAATGAGTATTGTGTACAATAGATATACGCACCTGTCGATTATCAGTGAGAAAAAGTTTCATAAAGAATGTCGATGAAAGCACTACAATGCTTACATATTTATATAAGCAGACAGACTAAAGGAACTAGGTAGTAAAAAGCACTATTAACACGGCTATACTAAGTATTCGTATTCAATGAATGACTCACTTTACGAGATTTATGACGCGAAGATTAAAAAAGGACACTTACTATTCAACCATATGAAAATTTATTAAATCAACCAACAAAGTCATACAAAGCAACTTCCCAACGGGCACCTGGGAAGAAGTGACCCTGAAAATATAAATTCCCTCCATAAATGTTCAAAAGGTCAACCGACTGTTAAAAAATGAAAGATTCTACTCAATCAGCTTTCTTATTGATTACCAGTTGATCATCTGTGACTTCGTACGAATATATAAGCGTACGCAACAAGCATAAAGGGGTATGGATAACTTATTATGGTTCCTTTTTAATACATCAGTTTCCCAAATAAATGACCTCGTTAAATTTTCTTGGTTTGCTTCAAACGTTAGAGTTTGTCTAAACCTAACTGCTCACGGAGAATAAATCATGCTGGCATGTGACTTTTTGATGACAATTAGAATTAAGTGAGCAAATTACTATCAGCAGTTTACTGCATATGTAGTGTGGACTGCTATGTTAAACCCACACAGGTTATTCTAGCTTTCGAACAGGTCAATTCATTCTTCTTGAATCACATTTTGACATTGTTAATTATTCGCTTATCAACCTTGACTATTTTCATATGAGTGTTTTTTGTGCAGTTCTTATCCTATTCACCACACGTCTGTAACTTATTTTTGGTTGACTATAAATATTCATTCACGCTTGGCTAAATTGATTTGGCTCACACACCTCCATTGCTCGTCATTTCGCTTCATCCCTCTGATTTTTTGTCCAGATGAAGGAGTGTACAAAATATATGAATTCAAAAATTCATCCGTTATTCACTAACGCGATTAAGGTCGACAATTTCATACGAAAATTGACGATATATATTTCAATCATGCAAACGATCGACCTGGAGTCAGATTTTTGGGCCACCAAACATATAGTTCAAGAGAAATAAGGTGATTGACAGTATCCGAATCAATTTGATAACTAAGAATTCCTGAAATTGTGCAGTTTGAAGCAGGTAGAACTAAATGAGAACAAATGAACGCGTTATAATTGGAATTCGTAGACTGTGAGTAATCAAGTACAAAGAAATTATTAGTTCGTACAATCGCCACATCTGCCATAGCTCAAATGAGAATCCAAATTTATGTAATCAACTGCACTTCTTCTCTGTAGGTTCATCATGTGTCTGTCAGACGGTGTGTTGGATGTAGACTCTATATGATATAAAATACACTTATTGTTGTCAGAATTAACAACCAAAATTGAAACAGACTCACCTGACTCCTTGTAACGCATTCAGTTGTGACTGGTTTGCCTGTTTTAGCAAAAGTTTCATAGGTTTTGGAAAAAGAATTCTCGTGCGAAGAGCAATTTCATTGTTTCGGTATTGAACCTTTGTAATGCTGTTTCCCCAGTTGTCCAGTGTTTCTTTAGCTTCAGCCTCATCCTGGCCACAACCAGGTGGTAGTGATCTGAAGCTATGTCAGCTACTCTCCGGGTTCTCACATCTATTGTTCTTCCGAATATTTCGTTGATACAAATATGATCTATCTGGTTCTCTGTGGTTTGGTCCGGTGAGATCCATGTGGCTTTGTGTATGCGTTTGTGTGGGCATATTGTGCCATCTATAACCAATTTGTTGATTGCACATATATTTGCAAATCTCTCGACATTTTCATTTCTCTCTTCCAGTCCATATCGTCCAATTATATCTTCATATCCTGTGTTGTCCACTTTGACTTAAGCATTTATATCTTCCATCAGGATGGTGAGGTCCTTTCTTGGGCAATTCGCTATGATTGACTTCAGCCTCGTGTAGAACTAATCTTTATCGTCGTCGTTGCTATCGATGGTGGGTGCATAACATTGGATAACATTGTTCGGACTTTTCATGTACTTACAAAAATTGTTGCTTTGCTTGTTCGAAAGGGCATCTGTCTCGTGACTTCCGAAGAATCTCGGCTTTCATCATGAGGCGTCATAATTCTACCTTCAACTCTCAGGGCACAGTTTAAGTGGTTTGAATTGTTTTTCTGTCTAGCGTTTTTTTAGCGAGTTAGTTTTTCTAGGGGATGGGATCGCTAACCTTATGCTCAATCCTCCTTCTTCACCCGGGCTTGGGACCGGCAGTAACTCTAGAAGAGCTACAGACGGAGTTATGTTTCTAATGATCATTTATCTTTATCCATGACTTCTAGAAGCGATATAGAGTAACACAGCAGTCCAGAGTTGAACGAAACCCAGAATCACTGTGAGACATAAGTTTCCAATCAACCAACTTCTCAGATTCGTCGTATTATTGCACCAGATGTGGTTTGTCATAATGATTCACATATTTCTGATGAAATTTCTTACAACTCCGAAAATAATATGTTGAATGGGTCACATTTTGATCAAAAACCGGATTCAGTTTTGGTAGATGCTGATTTTTCTAGTGATCCATTAATCTCTAATGAAACTCGTAATGAATTTGATGAAACTATTTCAAAAGGATCTAATCGTGATGTCATATCATATATTATTTATCCTTATTATGCATTTGCTTCTTGTAGGAAACTTACTGAATGCGAAGCACGAGTACTAAGTGAGTTGATTTTCATTACAATTCGAATAACTTCATATCAACTGTTGTTTAAACTTATCATGAATTTACTTCTAATGAATACTGTAGTCAATATGTGAAATATGTTTTAAATGAAGCCACATTATTCATAACTTGGGGATATGAAGATCCAACATTATTTCGTGGGAGAGGATAGTGTTGGAAAATCTATGGTTCAAACTCTAAATATCAGTGGTTTCAGTGCACAACCGGCATGGTGATTGTATACAATTCCAGGACCCAGGTGAGTCCGTCTCAATTTCCGTTGTTAATTCTTATACTAACGGGTGCATTCTAAATTATACAGAGTCTATATGCAATACACTGTTGAATAGACGTAAGATGAACTTAAGAAGAAGACGTACAATCGACTACAGACATTTACGCTCCAATTTAAACTGTGGCGGACGTGGTTTTTGAATGAACCAATGGTTCCCTTGTATCGATGATTGTTTTGATTTTGAATTCCAAATACAGTACATTCGTTCGTGCACATCTAATACTTTTTGATTAAATTGCGTTTTTGCTGGGATTACTAGATCACATCATAATTCAAATACTTCAAATTATTACGGTATGTTAATTATTTAGACCAATAAATCACTCAACTGCATGTGAAGTTGATCACAAAATTTATATTTGGGGGCTCGTTTCTTCAATTCAAGGATAAATTCTCTTGTCTTTGAAATGAAATAGCTTCATTTGTGAATACCAATGTTCTTAGTAAGCTGCGAACATCGTTCTCGATAAAGGTGAGGAAATGGATCACAATTTTATCGTCGTTAACGTTTTTCTGATCGTACTCAAGATTCAAAACCTTTCCATGTGATCTCCAAAAGCTTCACAATTCGAATGTATATTCAACTGTGTAAAATCCAAACCTAAATTCCAATAGGTCTGGATGTGGTTGAATAACTACAGCAAAAGTTTAGAAACTCATTAAAATTGAAATCAAAATAAAGTGTTTTCGAGTAATAACGATTCTAAATTTCATCATATATACAAATGTACAAATTTACCTAAACAAATTAACCACAGCAGTTTTTCTGAACTCAATACTGTCCGGAATAGTTTGTGAACAATCGGTAATAGTTCTGCCGAACTCGGCTTGCAGTAAAGTAGGGCACTTAATCCACGACTCCAGATCGGCCAATTTTTGTATACCTCTCGCAGTCCAGTCCTCTGGGTTCTACGACGACTTGACGTAAGTCCATCGCTCAACCTTCGTGTACTGGTGTAAGATGGCGAGACGATTAGCTATATAAGTACTATATCGGTTTCCTGTATTTTTAATTTAATACAGCACTATCATGGAATCAGTATGAAAATTCACATCGCAGAAAAAATTTGGTAAGCTTCTTAGTAGAACTTCACTTAGCCTTACGCTTAAAACTGCTGCTGCCATCTCAAGCCTCGGTATAGTGACTGGTTTTATAGGTGCTACCCTGGACTTGCTGTACAACAAAATAAAATACGGCTGTTCGTTCAAATAACTGACTCGTGCATAAGCTACCGCTTCATAACCTATCTCTGAGGCATTACTAAACAAATGCAATTCCACCTGTGCGTTAGGTTCATCTAATTTATTCTTCATCCCTCGAGGTATCATAACGTGACCTATCCGTCGCATAAAGTTCGCCCACTTTAGCGAGGTCGATAAATAAGGCTCATTGATCGACGGATCCCAACCTATTTCAGACTCACACAACTTTTGCAGCAGAAGTTTAACTGTGAGACAGACTGGGAAAATTCGGCCCAAAGGATCAAACAGGGAAGACACCACGGATAGAATACGTCTCCTCGTCAACGGCCTTTCCGGTGCGTCAAAGTAAAACTTTAAAACATCTCTTTCACAATCCCATTGTACACCCAAGGTACGATGAATGACATCACAACTTTTTGACATATCTGCATCCTGCCACCATAGAAACCTTAAGGCTCCTTGATCAGATTCAGGGGCCTTAACTTGCATGAACATCTCTTCAACATCTGCACGCATGGCAATTGCTTCCTTGCGAAAGCGCAATAATATATAAACTAGTTCCGCAGTCGTGTCAGGTCCTTGATAAATCATATCATTTAGCGAAACCCCAGTACATTTAGCAGCACAATCCAGCACCACTCTCAGTTTCTCTGTTTTTTTCGGATTTATCACCGCGTGATGAGGTAAATACCAACGAGGGAGATAATCTGACTTCAACTGTATTTCAGGGACCTTTCATGCATAACCTTTAGCGAAATTACTTTCAACACTTCTGGTATATCTGGAATGTAGGTTGCTATCCTTCATTAACCTACGCTTCAAACTAAGTAACCTACTGACTGCTGCCTCATAGTTTCCCGTCTTTATGTTTGGATTCATTTTCCATGGTATCGGAACTACGAAGTGATTACCATCGAAGAAAGTACCCCTTTCTACTACCTCTATTGCTGCTTGGTCCTCTACTGACAGCGATTTATCGCTTGAATATACATCGGCGAACTCTAAATCATAGAGCTTACGGAAACGGTCTTCTAATGTCTGCAGTTTACTCATACAATTACCAACTTTTCTTCAAGCCCGAAAATGATGCAGGTCCAAATACGGTCCACCCGAGCAGCGTTTTCACTGTGTACGGATTTTTTCTTC